TATCATATTGATTTATAATCAATAATCTAATATAACATATAAATCTAATATTATTATTATAAATTCGTTTTTAATTATATATAAAATTCATTAAGGGTAAAATAGATATTAACCGCTCTAANAAAAATATTATTTCAAGATAACAACACCATATCTATAAGAATTATCTTATTTTTGTAATGTGTATTTATTTTGACAATTATCATATTGATTTATAATCAATAATCTAATATAACATATAAATCTAATATTATTATTATAAATTCGTTTTTAATTATATATAAAATTCATTAAGGGTAAAATAGATATTAACCGCTCTAATTTTTAACGTGGAAACTCCATTGCGAAAAATCACTTCGCAAATAATAGTATAGATAGACATGCCTTTTTTAATTTTTTAGAGCGAAACGGCGTCGTTTAAGAAGAAGAGTGGACCTCTGTTGAAACTTGAAACCTACCACCGGCAAAGCAAAACAAACGAAAAAACTTACTAAACGACAGGCTGTGTTAATAGTATTAACACAAAACAGCAGGAGTTTTCTCTATTTGTAAGAGGAACGATGTCGTTTTAAAGAATGCAGCCGGTTCATATAAAGTCCGGTTTACTGTCTCTGCTGAAAACAGCAAACAGTTGGTGAATGTTGCTCTATCTTCTCCCTCCCGGCGTCGCCTTTCATCTTCATTCTCCGGCGTTATCTTCGTCGTCAGGCGTAAGTCCTCGTCTTCTATCTCTTCAAGAAACTTTCGGAGTTACTTTGATTTAAATTTTTAAGCTTTTGATTTCATTGTTTTTGACAGAAAAAGTTTCGAGAGAGATGATAATGGAAGAGGTGAGGATGATCCAGTTTGAGGCACTCTTTAATCTTAATGAAAGAAGATTTGAATAATGATGATGAGGAGATAAGCAGAGAAGACTTAGATACATTAGCAATAACTCTTCTCAAGTTTTGGGTGGTGATGATGTTATGATGGCATCGACTTGTTCGGTTCAGATATTGGTGATGTTGTTGATGATAATGAAGATGATTGCCATGTTGATGATGACAGTGAAGAATTGGCAGCTTAGAAGATTGGCTTATGGCATTGAAAGCTGGGCATTCTAAAACTAGTGTAAGTTTCATGTCTTATCACCAAGTTCAGTTTCGACTTTCGAGCATAGATGTTAAACACATAGATTTTTTTGTATTAATATGGTAATAATGGTTTTTTAAAGTATTTTAACAAGTATTGGTTTGTTTTTGAGTGCATGCAGATTCTGAAGAACACAACAGGAAAAGAGAGGAGGGGGTGATTGCAACGCTGAGGCAAAGCCTTTTGATCTCTTTGTTCTTGTTCTTGTGCTATCTATGTGGATAAAGTTTACAGGGAACTGTATTAATAAATAATTATATTGTATGGGATGTGACTTGTGAGATCTAAAATCGCAAAATTGTAGACAGAGTTCTCTTGTAGCCTTGTAGTCTTTAGATTTTCTTAACTAATTTTCTTTGTCGGTTTGATAGATTTTCTTAATACATTAAACAAAAAAGGGTTGATGTTTGTGCTTTCTGATTCCTCATTTTTTATATTGGTGAGTTGGTTGTGTATTTTCTTGGATAACATATTTATAACTTCTTCTCTTGCTGGTTGCGCTTGTGGGACCTCTCTGTTGCTGTCGTTATTTTTATTTGCTAGTAGTTTAACATTCCTAGTCAACGCTCTGTGTTCAATGTATACAAGGTCTCATTGGCTCATAATAATTTCTTCCTCCACATAGCTCCCTTTCAAGCTCTGTAATACTAATCCTCTTGTCGTCATACTAGTTAATGGATTCTTCTTTCTTTTTCACCACTCTTGCCGCTGCAATAGGTCTTTTAACCGTTCTGAGAAAACTTAGATTCCATCAAGAAGATAAAAAAGAAAAGGATTCTTCTTCTTCATCATCACCTTCATCTTCTTTGTTTCCTACAGCAGTTCCTCCACCTTCTTCTTCTCGCATCTGGACACATGATGTCTTTCCAAGCTTCCGTGGGGAAGATGTCCGCAGAGACTTTTTCAGCCATATTCAGATGGAGTTCCAAAGAAAGGGAATCACTCCATTCATTGATAATGAAATCAAAAGAGGAGAATCTATAGGTCCAGAACTGATCAGAGCCATAAGAGGATCTAAGATCGCAATTATCTTGCTCTCTAGGAACTATGCCTCCTCCAAATGGTGTCTTGATGAACTGGTGGAGATTATGAAATGCAGAGAAGAGTTGGGTCAACCGGTAATTGCTATTTTCTATAAAGTGGATCCCTCTGATGTGAAAAATCTAACTGGAGATTTTGGGAGAGTCTTTAGAAAAACTTGTGTTGGTAAAACAAAGGAAAACATTGGGAGATGGAGACAAGCTTTGGGAAAAGTGGCCACAATCGCTGGCTATCATTCAAGCAACTGGTTAGTTCTGAATCCCACTTGCTCTTCACTTTTTTTTAAAACAATAGATTCATATTTCATTATGATTGTGTATGATTATTTAACTGATGCATTGAACTCTCCAATTGTTAGGGATAATGAAGCAGCCATGATCAAGAAGATTGCCACTGATATTTCAAACATGCTGAATAATTTCATACCATCAAATGATTTCGACAGGTTAGTTGGGATGGGAGCTCATTTGAAAAAGATGGAATCTTTGTTATGCCTAGGCTCAGGTGAGGTGAGGATGATTGGGATTTGGGGTCCTCCTGGGATTGGGAAGACCACAATTGCTAGAGCAGCATACAACCAACTCTCTGACAGTTTTCAACTGAGTGTTTTTATGGATGATATCAAAGCAAATTATTCAAGACTGTGTTCTGATGACTACAGCGCAAAGTTGCAACTACAACAACAGTTTATGTCTCAAATAACCAACTATAAGGATATGGTGGTTTCTCATTTGGGAGTTGCCTCAAATAGGTTGAAGGACAAGAAAGTTCTTGTTGTTCTTGATGGCGTGGACCGGTCAGTACAACTAGATGCAGTGGCAAAAGAGACTTGGTGGTTTGGTCCCGGGAGTCGGATTATAATCACAACACAAGATCAAAAACTTCTTAGAGCACATGGAATTAATCATATTTACAAAGTGGATTTTCCAACAAATGATGAGGCTCTCCAAATCTTTTGTATGCATTCTTTTGGTCAAAAGTCCCCTAAAGATGGTTTTGAGGAGCTTGCTCGAGAAGTTACACAACTTGCTGGTGAACTCCCTTTGGGGCTAAGGGTCTTAGGTTCCTACTTTCGGGGAATGTCTAAGCAAGAGTGGATAAATTCGCTACCAAGATTAAGGACTAGCCTTGACGCTGATATTCGAAGCATTTTGAAGTTCAGCTATGATGCCTTAGATGATGAAGATAAAGATTTATTTCTTCATATAGCTTGCTTCTTCATCTATGAAAAGGTTCACAAAGTGGAAGTGTATCTTGCAAAGAAGTTTGTGGAAGTGAGGCAAAGACTTAACGTCTTAGCTGAGAGATCTCTCATATCTATCGAATGGGGAGTTATAAGGATGCACAGTTTGTTAGAAAAATTAGGTAGAGAAATTGTTTGTAAACAATCTATTCATGATCCTGGACAGCGCCAGTTTCTGTACGACTTTAGAGAGATTTGTGAATTGCTAACTGGTGATGCAACCGTAAGTGTCTTTCATTGCTTTACTCCCTGCAAACTTTAGTCTATTCGTTAACAAACAAACACTACTTTTCTTGTGTGGTTATTTCTTTCAGGGTAGTAAAAGTGTCATTGGGATAAAGCTGGACGACTACAAAATAGAGGAAGAATTAGGTGTAAGTGAGAAAGCCTTTGACGGAATGTCAAATCTCCAATTCTTAAAAGTCTATGGTTCTCGCGATACACTGCAATTAACTGGAGGTCTGAACTATCTGTCTCATAAACTTCGATTACTAGAGTGGAGTCATTTTCCAATGTCATGTTTTCCTCGCAATGTAAACTTTGAGTTCCTTGTCGAACTAATCATGATTGGCAGCAAGCTTGAGAAGTTGTGGGAAGGAATTAAAGTAAGCTGTTTTTATTTATTTCACTTTGTTTCAAATCTAGTATTTGTACATTTTTGAGTTAAAATGTCTAAAACAACTAAGTTTTTGTAATTTGTCTGTACAGCCGCTTCGATGTCTCAAGTGGATGGATTTGAGTGATTCTGTAAACTTGAAGGAGCTTCCTGATCTCTCAACTGCCACTAACCTTGAGAAATTGTATCTACGTAATTGCTGGAGTCTAATCAAACTCCCTTGCTTGCCTGGAAATAATGTGGAGGAACTTGATATGGGTGGATGCTCAAGTCTTGTGGAGTTTCCCTCCTTTATTGGGAATGTCGTTAATCTCCGGAAATTGAATCTTGATAGTTTCCCAAATCTGGTGGAGCTCCCTTCATTCGTTGGGAATGCCACCAACCTGGAGAATTTAAATCTTCGTAACTGCTCACATCTGGTAGAACTTCCTCTCTCTTTTGGAAACCTGCAGAAGTTGCAGACACTGATATTAAAAGGATGCAGTAAGCTAGAGAATTTTCCCAACAACATCAATTTGGAATATTTGAAGGATTTTGATCTTGCTGGATGTTCAAGTCTTGATCTCGGTGGGTTCTCCACTATCAAAAATGCCGTCAATCTTCAGACATTGAATTTAAGTAGTCTACCAAAATTGTTGGAGGTACCTTCCTTCATTGGGAATGCGACTAATCTAGAGGACTTGATACTTAGTAACTGCTCAAATCTGGTGGAACTTCCTCTTTTCATTGGGAACCTTCAGAAATTGAAAAGGCTGAGATTAGAAGGATGCAGTAAGCTAGAGATTCTTCCCACCAACATCAACTTGGAATCTTTGTTTGAACTTAATCTCAATGATTGCTCCATGTTGAAACGTTTTCCTGAGATCTCCACAAACATCAGAAATCTCAACCTCATAGGAACTGCAATAGAACAAGTGCCTCCCTCGATCAGGTCATGGCCTCGTCTTGAAGAGTTGAAGATGTCATACTTTGAAAACCTCAAGGACTTCTCTCATGCTCTTGAAAGAATCACATGCATGTGCTTGACCGACACAGAGATACAAGAGCTTCCTACGTGGGTCAATAAAATCTCTCGTCTGAGTGTATTCGTGCTTAAGGGATGCGGAAAGTTGGTAACACTCCCAGCCATTTCAGAGTCCATCCGTTACATGGATGCAAGTGATTGCGTGTCCCTGGAGATATTAGAGTGCTCCTTTCAAAATCAATACCTTACGCTCAACTTCGCCAACTGCTTCAAACTGAATCAAGAAGCGAGAAACCTCATGATCCAGAATAGTTGTAGATATGCAGTCTTACCAGGTGGACAAGTGCCTCCACACTTCACTCACAGAGCTACTGGTGGAGGTCCTTTGACAATCAAGTTTTCTGAAAAGCCTCTTCCAAAGTACATGATATTTAAAGCTTGCATTTTGCTGGTTAATAAAGTCGACGATGACGCTTGCTCTGAAGAGAACTCGATGGAAGTGGATGTCATATATCAAAATAGCAATAAAAAGCTGTATCCGGCTTTAGCAGAGCATTTGTACATATTCCGAGTCGAAGCGGAGGTTACTTCCAGGGAGCTTCTCTTTGAGTTCAAGCTGAAAAGGGATGATGTTTGGAAGATAGGAGAATGTGGGATAATCCGAGACGTGGAGATTCCTTCATGTTGATGAGAGTTTGAGAGCTGGGGTGGCCATGGCAGATTTGAAACATAAAGTTGTCTCTGTTTTTTGTTCTCTAGTGTATTCCTCTGTTTTTTTTTTTTTTTTTTTGAAAAGTTGATGGGTGGTATGAAATTAAATGAAAGTCCTTTCCTCAACTAAATATATGTACCTGAAACTCAAATGTGGGTGAGGAGATCAATGTGTTGTACACGCATGTGTTGACAGATTTAGCAATTGAAGAGCCGGAGATGAAAAGAATGGTAAACGCTATATGTAGAGCCTTTGGTACACTTATAAGTAACACGTAGTGCTGAAGAGGCTTGTTACTGTCATGTTGCAGTTTGTTAGAGCAGATGTGCACATTTTTGTTAACTCATATATTAATCTTTTTTAAAAAAATCGTGTAACTTAATCCAATCTCTAACGATCAAAGAGCAAATAAAAAAAAGTCTGTTTCATCGGGACTTGGTAATCTGGTAGAAGATTATAACATACTTTAAACCAAGCAAGTTTTGACAGAGCAAATATAGAGCCTTGTCTCTTACTCTTATATCTTACCTTAAGCAATGTATTAAGCACTAATAAGCAGGTGTTACTTTTTTGGTTCTTGGACATGATGGAATGACTATGATTCACCATTCCATTATGGTGTTTAGGCAAAGATACCTCTTACCACATCCCCTGTTTTTAAAAATTACAACTGCCAGAGCACCAAGAATGATTTCAACCATTATCATTAGCCAAAGATTAAACGAAAGAAGCACGTCGGGATTAACTTATTATCAATTAGTAAGAACTTGTATAGTTATGCATAAATGAGATGACATGTGAATAGTAAACGAGTAAAGCAGAGAACCAGCCATTCTTAATCCATCCCTTTGAATGTTCTGGATTCGACATTATCAAGCTCAGAGAGAGATCAGTTTCTTCTGTAGAGAGAGAGAAACAGAGTGAACTTGTTGAAAACAAACTATTAACGACAAAAGGTTTAATAAAACTGCATGCTTTGTTATGTTGTAAAACCAAACAGCACGTGTTTTGTTCTGATAAAACATATTTTTTTCTGTAGAGAGAAAGAGTGGACCTGTTGAAACCAGACTATAACTTTTAGTCTTTAGCTTTTCTTGACTAACTTTCTTTGTGGTCTGATAGATCTTCCTAATTCAAATGTTATTTTTGTTGTATGATACATATTTTTGGATACTATGCCTTACTGTTTCGAATGCTTGATTAAAAGACTTTTCTCTCTACATTGTATACAGATCAGTAAATGGAGGTCATATTGATCAATGGGTTTCCTTATGCAAATAGAACAAAGATAGTCGATGTTTTAGATCTCAGCGATGAACATCCTTGTAGAAGTCTTTTGACATTTAGCTTTATTTGTTCAAATTCAGGGAACACAGTTTTTGATCACTGCTTCCACGAAAGATTGTTTGTGTTTGTGTGATTCTTACATTCTTTCCTTTTTACTGTTTTCTTACAAACAAACAAAAAGGTTGACGTCTGAGCGCCCTGATTCCTTATTTTTATATTGGAGAGTTAATTGTGTATTTTTTTGGATCTCATTATTTCTATGCGTCTTCTATTGCTAGTTGCATTTGTGGGACCGTTCTGTTACACTCAGTTTTTTAATTTTCTGTGAGGAAATTTCAAGGAAGTAGGTACACGGAGAAAAGCAGTAGCCAGTCCACTTTTTTTATTGCTAGTAGTTTAACATTCCTTGTCAACTTTCTGTGTTCAATGTATACAAGGGGCCTCATAGGAACATAATAATTTCTTCCTCCACATAGCTCCCTTCCAAGCTCTGTAATACTGATCCTCTTTCCATCATACTAATTAATGGATTCTTCTTTCTTTCTCACCACTCTTGCTGCCGCAATAGGTCTCTTAACCGTTCTGAGAAAACTTAGATTCCATCAAGAAGATAACAGAGAAAAAGATCCTTGTTCTTCATCTTCTTTGTCTCCTTCAACGGTTCATCCACCTTCTTATTCTCACATCTGGACGCATGATGTCTTTCCCAGCTTCCGTGGGGAAGAGGTACGCGGAGACTTTCTTAGTCACATTCAGATGGAGTTTCAGAGAAAAGGAATCACTCCATTCAGTGATAATGAAATCAAAAGAGGAGAATCTATAGGTCCAGAGCTGATCAGAGCCATTAGAGGATCTAAGATCGCAATTATCTTGCTCTCTAGGAACTATGCCTCTTCGAAATGGTGTCTTGATGAACTGGTGGAGATTATGAAGTGCAGAGAAGAATTGGATCAGACTGTAATGGCTATTTTCTACAAAGTGGATCCATCTGATGTGAAAAAGCTAACCGGAAATTTTGGGGAAGTCTTTAGAAAAACTTGTGCTGGTAAAACAAAGGAAACCATTGGGAGATGGAGACAAGCTTTGGCAAAAGTGGCCACAATCGCTGGTTATCATTCAAGCAACTGGTTAGTTCTTTTGATTTCCATTGCTCTATACATTTTTTAAACATAACATTCATATTTATTTATCAATATGAATATTTAATGGCTGCATTGAACTCCCCAATTGTTAGGGATAATGAAGCGGCCATGATCAAGAAGATCGCCTCTGATATTTCAGACATGCTGAATAATTTCACACCATCAAATGATTTTGATGGTTTAGTTGGGATGGAAGCTCATTGGAAAAAGATGGAACCATTGTTATGCATATGCTCAGATGATGTGAGGATGATTGGGATTTGGGGTCCTCCTGGGATCGGGAAGACAACAATCGCTAGATTTGCATATAACCAACTCTCCAACAATTTTCAACTGAGTGTCTTTATGGATGATCTCAAAGCAAGCCCTACAAGACTGTGTTCCAATGACTACAGTTTAAAATTGCAACTACAGCAACAGTTTATGTCTCAAATAATAAACCATAAGGATATGGTCGTTTCTCATTTGGGAGTTGCGTCAAATAGGTTGAAGGACAAGAAAGTTCTTGTTGTTCTTGATGGCGTGGACAAGTCAGTACAACTAGATGCGATAGCGAAAGAGACTCGGTGGTTTGGTCCCGGGAGTCGGATCATCATCACAACACAAGATTATAAACTTTTCAAAGCGCATGGGATTAACCATATTTACGAAGTGGTATTTCCAACAAATGATGAGGCTCTCCAAATCTTTTGTACATATTCTTTTGGTCAAAAGTTCCCAAAAGATGGTTTTGAGGAGCTTGCTCGGGAAGTTACAGGACTTGCTGGTGAACTCCCTCTGGGGCTACGGGTAATGGGTTCTTATTTCCGTGGAATGTCCAAGCAAGAGTGGACCAATTCGCTACCAAGATTAAAGACTAGAATTGACCCTGATATTGGAAGCATTTTGAAGTTCAGCTATGATGCTTTAGATGATGAAAATAAAGATTTATTTCTTCATATAGCCTGCTTCTTCAACTCTGAAAGTATTCAAAAGGTGGAAGGGCATCTTGCAAAGAAGTTCTTGGAAGTTAGGCAAAGACTTAACATCTTAGCTGAGAAATCTCTCATATCTATCAACGACTGGGGAGTTATAAAGATGCATAGTTTGCTAGAGAAACTAGGTAGAGAAATTGTTTGTAAACAATATATTCATGAGCCTGGACAGCGCCAGTTTCTGTATGACAATAGAGAGATTTGTGAAGTATTGAGTGGTGATGCAACAGTAAGTGGCTTTCATTGCATTGCTCCTGGAAATTTTAGTTTATTTGATAACTGACAAACTATATCTTTTTGTTTGGTCTTTGATTTCAGGGAAGTAAAAGTGTCATAGGCATAAAGTTTGATTACTATAGAATCAGTGAAGAAATAGATATAAGTGAGAAAGCCTTTGAAGGAATGTCAAATCTCCAATTCTTAAAAGTCCATGGTTTTACCGATACACTGCAACTAACTGGAGGTCTGAATTATCTATCTCACAAACTTCGATTACTGCAGTGGAATCATTTTCCAATGAAATGTTTTCCTTGCACTGTAAACTTGGAGTTCCTTGTCGAACTAATCATGAATCACAGCAAGCTTGAAAAGTTGTGGGAAGGATTTAAAGTAAGTTATTTTGTTTTATTTCTCTTTGTTTTGAATCTATCATTTGTACATTGTTTAGTTATAAAAGAAAATGATCAGGCGATACTCGTTTTTTTTTTATCAGTGTGGCTGTCATCTGTTTCTTTCTTTCGAATCTATCATTTGTTAGCTATAAAGAACTGATATTGGCGCACTCCTTTAGTTTTTTTTTTTTATGTGTGGGAAGGAATGCCATGAGACCTCTCTCATTAAAACCTTACCAAACAAAACCCATTAGTGTGGCACTCATCTGTTTCATTAGTAAAGTGTTTCAACCATGTTTTTCTAATTAATTTATCTGTACAGGTGCTTCGATGTCTCAAGTGGATGGATTTGGGTTATTCTGAAAACTTGAAGGAGCTTCCTGATCTCTCAACTGCCACTAACCTTGAAAAATTGAATCTTCCTTATTGCTCGAGTCTAATCAAACTCCCTTCCTTGAATGGAAATAGTCTGGAAGAATTAGATATCAGTGGATGTTCAAGTCTTGTGGAATTTCCTTCTTTTATTGGGAATGCCGTTAATCTTCGAGAATTGGATCTTAGTGGTTTCCCAAATCTGTTGGAGCTCCCTTCCTATGTTGGAAATGCCACCAACTTGGAGAAGTTGAATCTTAGTGGTTGCTTAAATCTGGTGGAACTTCCTCTCTCTCTTGGAAACATTCAGAAGCTGCAGTCACTGATATTAAAAGGATGCAGTAAGCTAGAGAATTTTCCCAACAACATCAACTTGGAATTTTTTATTCATCTTGATCTCGCTGGGTGTTCAAGTCTTGATCTCGGTGGATGCTCCGTTATCAGAAATGCCGTCAATCTCCGAAAATTGGATTTAAGTAATCTACCACAATTGTTGGAGGTCCCTTTCTTTATTGGGAATGCCACTAATCTAGTGGACTTGAAACTTAGGAACTGCTCAAATCTGATGGAACTTCCTCTTTTCGTTGGGAACCTTCAAAAGTTGCGATGGCTGAGTTTGAATGGATGCGTTAAGCTAGAGGTCCTTCCCACCAACATCAACTTGGAATCTTTGGATGAACTTAATCTCAGTGAGTGCTCCATGCTGAAAAGTTTTCCTCAGATTTCCACAAACATTAGTTATCTCTACCTCAGAGGAACCACGATAGAACAAGTGCCTCCTTCGATCAGGTCATGGCCTCGTCTTGAAAAATTGAATATGTCATACTTTGAAAACCTCAAGGACTTCCCTCATGCTCTTGAAAGAATCACACAACTGTGGTTGACCGACACAGAGATACAAGAGGTTCCTCCGTTGGTTAAGAAAATCTCTAGTATGAAAGAGTTCGTGCTCAATGGATGCCGAAAGTTGGTATCACTCCCACCGATTTCGGATTCCACTCATTCTGTGTATGCAAATGATTGCGAGTCCCTGGAGATACTAGAGTGCTCCTTTCACAATCACTTCCGTAGGCTCAAATTTGCCAACTGCTTCAAACTGAATCAAGAGGCGAGAGACCTCATCATCCAGAGTCGTAGTCAATCTGCAGTCTTACCAGGTACACAAGTGCCTGCATACTTCACTCACCAAGCTACTGGTGGAGGTCCATTGACTATCAAGTTGACTGCAAAGCCTCTTCCCAAATCCATGACATTTAAAGCTTGCATCTTGCTGCTTATTAAAGGTGACCATGAAGCTTGTTCTAATGAGAAATCAAGGGGAGTGGATGTTGTGTATAAAAATATCACCAGTGGACTATATCCGGCTTTAGCAGAGCATCTGTACACATTCGATATCAACGCAGAAGTTACTTCCAGCCAGCTTCTTTTTGAGTTCAAGCTGATGAGCGATGACGATTGGAAGATAGGAGAATGCGGGATGGTCCAACACTAGGAGGTCCCTTGATATTGATGAACACGATGTGTGCTTGAGAGAGGAAACATATGACCAATTCTAACAGAAGTTAAGGCCTCTCTGTTCTTTGTACTCTACTGTATTCCTGTAGGGTTTTTTTTCTTTGAAAAGGTCATGGTATTATGAAATGAAATACGAGTCCTTTTCTCAACTGAATGTATATATCTGAAACTCAAATTTAGGTGAGGAGATCGATGTGTGTATAACGCATGAGTTGACGCGAGCCAATATCCAGAGCCTTTGGTACACTAATAAGTTATACTTAGTAGTGACGAGGCTGAAAAAAATTCTGTATTTGTTGTTCGTACAGTGTAGTGGTCTGTTGCCTGTCATGTTGCAGTTTCTTAGAGCATGATTAACCCGAGTTCTTAGGCTGGGATTCTTAGCGGATTTCTTAACTTTCGCTAAGAACCCCATCCTAAGAATCCCGAGCAATGTGCATATTTTCGTCAAACTCATATGTAAAGCATTTTGTCGTTGAACTTAATTCAAGGTCTACCCGATCAGAGAGCAAATAAAAGAAGGGTTTGTTGGTTAATACTCTTATCTCTTACCTTAAGCAAGGTATTAAGCAGCTGTTGGTTAAGAGGTTCTTGGGACATGATGCAATGACTATCACTCACCATTATGCATAGATGAGACGACTTGTGAATAGGAAACGAGTAAAGCAGAGAACCAACCTCGTCTGCCACATGACAACCAGAGCTTCTAGTGTCTTGAATGCAGTGGAGGGTGCCATTGACAAAAAAAAAAAAAATAGACTTTATATGACGACAACGATTTGTAAGACTCAAAGAAAAATCCACCTAACATCTGTAAACAAAATGAGTGCAAAGGATGCGGAATTGCCAAATCATTGACGGAACAGAGCAAATATACCTTCTTTGGTGGTAGATAAGCCTCAAGATCAATTCCATCAATTACTGAAGCATGGGAAAGATTGCTTGGTTCATCTGTACCTTTTAAGTCTCCCTAATGATCTCAACTTATCCTCCATGCTTAAATGTTTCTACATAAATCTGAAATTTCAAATTAAAAACTAATACATATCCTAAAATAGCTAAAACAATCAGACGACCTCCATCAGTACACGATGATTGTGTAAGTGACAGGTCTGTCAAACTACTTCAGAACCGTTATGTAAAACTCACAACTTGACTTAGTAGGTCAACCGCTAAGTCCTCGTCTTCTATCTCTTCCAATTCAACATCATTACTAATTCGCTTGTACCTCGTGAAATTAGAACTTTCGCAGTTAGTTTGATACAGTATTAGGAAATAATCGTCAATTCATGATAAATTTTTAACGTTTTTGATTTTGACAGAAAAGTTTCTGAATGAGATGATGATAATGGAGGAGGAGGATGATCCATTTGAGGCACGGTTTAATGATGTTTATGGCATCGACTTGCTCGGTTTAGCTATTGGTGATGTTGTTGAAGATAGATGACATCATGGTGATGTTTAAGAATTGACAGCTTAGAAGACTTGGCTTATGCATTGAAAGCTGAGCGCCTTAAAACTAGTGTAAGTTTCATTTCTTGCCAAGTTCAGTGTTGAGGCTAAAATGTTAACCACATCGGTTAAATCATACTTTATCATAGTTACTACTCGCTTGGAACAAGTAAAATCCCCTGATTCAAAAGCATGATGGCGTTTTTGTGGTTCTGCAGATTAGGCAGCTAAGCTTTGTCTTGAGAGGGCTTATGTTCTTGAACTGCTATGTGACCCACCTCCATAGGCTTCTAATGCTAAGTGCTACACGTTAGATGAAAAACCGCCAGTAGCAGCACCTGATCCATAGAAAGTTGTGGATAGCAGCATTGTTCAAGTGACCAATCTTTCAAGGAGGCGAGTTTTGAATGGTTCGAGGATAGAATAGTGGAGGATGAAATTCCAGAGAAGCGAGCTTCCTATCAAGCCCCGGTTTGATTTGATGTTTCAGAAATTGACTCAGTCTGCTTCCGGTTGGTTTAGTTTCCTTCCTTCTTAAAAATTATAAAAATTTCTTATTATTTAACACAAATGAAGCAACAATTATTTGATCAGAAAAAATAATACTTTCTCCGTTTCATAATATTTGTCATTTTAGGTTTTTTTATCACAAATTAAGTGTCGTTTAAGAGTTTCGAATCAAAATTATTAGTTTTATATAATATTCAATTTTTCTATTGGTTGAAAAGTGGTTAGATGTATAGGTAATTGTGTTTTTATCTTGAAGATATGTAATATTAAATATTTTTTTAAACAGTGTGCAAAAATCTAAAATGACAACTAAAGTGAAACGGAAATAATAATCAACAATTATTAAAATTTAATTTGAATTTTATACTTGATTTGATTCGACAGTTTGTTAGCTTTGGAAATACATATATAGAAAATTCTTACACTCTTTCCATTTTTCTAATGTCTTGTTTGTGCTTTCCAATTCTTTATTTTTCTTGGATATAATTATGTCTGAGAGCATGCGCAATAGTAATACAAATCTCGCATATCTATCACTATTAAAAGGGGCATATCCTCAACAGGGAGGCCCTCCACGTCAGATAAAATATTCAGGCCAATAGGAGTTCAGTTTCCCGCCACGTCAGCTCATCACCTTAATCATTTGGGCTTCAAATCTCCCCGGCCCGTTTCCCCTTTCTGCGAAGTATAATCCTTTCGCAAACCTTACTTTTCTTCTTCTTCGATTTCTCCGTTTCATTGTTGTTTCCTTTCGGAAGATTGATTGCAGAGGAAGTGGGATCGTCACAATCAATGCCATATAGAAAGAAATCAAGCTTCTCTCAGGAACTCACGAAGCTGTAATCGATGCCATGAACAATCGAGCGCCCAAACCTTGATGTGGTTTCATGTCTTGATCCTTTCCAGAACTCTAACTTCTTGGTTTGTTTTTCTTGGAAAATTGGAATGAAGGAGGAGCGTGAGAGTCTTCATTCCGCTATTGATGAGCTTATGCAAATCGGAATGCAAAGGTTCTTCCTTTTTCTTAATTTCAAATTCTTGAATTCACATCTGGTCTCTGTTTCTGATTCTTTGATTCAGATCTGATATATTCTCAAAGCTGGGTTCTGTGAAGAAAGATGGGGACCTTAATATGGTTATGGAGATTTTAAATAAGAAGCCTCAGACTTTCCAGGTTGAGAAACCAGAGCTTTCTCAGGTACACCTATAATCTGTTCTTGGTTAACTGAAAATCAAGTTGCATTCACTTTATCCTTAGGATGGTCAGCTTGGTGCTTTTGGTAGCAATGTTTTTATACAAGCATCTTACATCTTCTTCTAAGTGAACTGGATCTGTTCTTTTTTTTTTAAGAAAACTAAAGGCGAGAAGATGGTTAATAAGAAGACGAAGCAGGAACAAGTTTCTGATCCAGTTTCCAAGCTGAAGTTGTTGACAGAAAAGCCTGAAGCTTCTTGGGTATGCATACGTTTTTCCAAACTTTTATTTACTGGTGTCCAAGGTTAAGAGCTCACTGTCATTTATTTTATTCAGCCTAGACTTTAAGCAGTAATGTTGTTTTTGTTCGATTGAATGAAATGCTGTTAACACTGCTGAGTACATTTTATTTATCAGAAGAGTAATGAGAAGAGCCAGACCGACACACATTTGGTTTGAAAGTCATGATTTATATAATAGGTATGCAAAATCAATGTTCTGACCAACTTTGCCTAACTACGGTTCTGATTTTAGTATTAGAAATTAGGTGCTATAAGCTTAACTTAATATTTTTGAGTAGCCACATTAGCTTCATTAAAGATTGTACTGAATGAGTATACTAATTACAGATTTTATATATACTTAAAGGCTGCATTTTATGTTGAGAAGAGCCTTTTCTGAAGTGAGTGCTAGGGTAGTAAACGTATAGTAATTTTACTTTTTGGTTTTGATTGCCAAATGGTATTAATTGTCAATTTCACAGTAAAACAGTTATTAAACTTAGCAACTATATATTGTAAGATTTTACAAGGTCCTTTATATCAAAGGGCATCACTGGTCCAGCATTGGGCTGTTCTCTGATCTGTTTCTCACCAGGCTGTGAAGCCGTGGTACTGACTTCTGCAAACGAGAAGCTTGAGGAGCGTGGAGAAGAAGAAAAGGAAGGCCGTGAACAGGATTCAGAAGAGACTGTATGCTTATCCTTCTTCTTCTTGGTACTCCTCCCCTGCTATTCCCATAAAAGTATCTGTTTTTATAAGTCTTTCTTTTTCCGAATTCTCATTTTTCAGAGATGAACAAAGGGTTTAGATTCTTACCGTTTCTTCATCACTTTCCATGTTAACTTTACCAACATGATTCTTTTTTTCCTCCTGCAAAATGAGCCACTTATTAACCTGTAGTTCTTGGTTCTGGTGAAACAACTCTGTTTCTTCTTTGTGGTCCTAAACACTGAACTGAGATTTAGAAAGAGTATTTAAGTTACCTGGAGGTAGAGACTTCTCTACATCGTCAGAGACTGGTCTTGCCGGATATTGTTGCCGGTAAAACACTTAAAAGATCACATTCATGCATCCAAACTGTTATTCACATTTGGGTTCTCATCTGACAAGTTATGCAAAATTTTTGCAGACATGTCTTCTTCTTCTTCTTCTTCTTAAACTCTCATAAACTCTGCTGTTGCAGTTACCAGTTTCTTCGTTTTTTCATCTGCTCTGAACTTAACGATTATTTCTGTTTCAGTGGAAGAAGAAACGAAGAAATGGACAAGAAGAAGAAGCCAGCATTAAGGAGCTTCTTGTGAAGTTATGACCAGACAACTGATTAGGTTCTTGGGTGTTTAGCTTTGGAGGCTACCTTGAAGAATAAAGAAGAGAAGTGAAAAAACGTTTTGTTTTAGTTCATTGATAAAGAGGTTTTTATCTTTAAAGGCAAAATACAACTGTCACCGGAAGCTTTGAAGTATATATATAATGTAAAGAATGTACATTTCTTAACATGTAAGGTTTATACATGTCACAAATCTGTATTTTACCATATATTCTTCAGGTATATATAAGAGCTCTGAAAAATTCTGCTTGGCAAATAATTAGGACTCTGGTTCACCTCTTACAATGAAAGTTACGCACATAAGAGCACAACGCTAACTTATTATACCACAGCTAAATGCTTTTTTTCAGAAAAAAATTGTTGGTTATATTTGGGTGGGATCTGTTATAAGAGACGTTACATACATACTTCTTTTATTTTCTTTTGTAACTAAAGAAACTTAATTACACATGTTTCTATTCTTAATTATTTATTTATTTATTTTATCTTAATTTGTTGGTGTAAAATAGTAAATTGATGAGTAATTTACTAATAATAATAATAATTCACTACTACAAAAAATCTTCTTTTAGAAGCTATGTCAGCAATCATTTGATTTTTCTTTGATCGATTAACACTTGATAATATTCACTATTATGTTATGGATAAGTAAATCATAATTAAGGAAAATTGGTTAAAAGTTAAAACATAAAAATTGAATATTCTATTTTTAAAATTTTGATCTCGAAATGCTATCTGGTTATGTCTCATAATAATACTAATAATAATATGAAATATATAAATGAAAACATTGTCATCTTCAAGTTATTTGGTTTGTTACGAGCTGATGTAGTGCTTACTATTGATCAGAATTGGGAGAAAACCATGGATTTTCATAGTCCAGGAAGAAAACCACTGATCAGGTTTAAAGTTTCATGCCAGCTAGCTTCACGGTGAAATATGTCCCTCATCAAGTCAGATGATTCAATGATCAAATAACTTTTCGATCCTGATTTCGGGGAAGCAGCAATTGGACGTGCTAGCTCCATTGATTCTGGTGAGAGAATCTTAAATATGTTTTGTCCTATAACCATGTGAAAAGGATATAGAGATTTGGTTGGATATATTTTAACTTAATTCACTTTTCATTTGTTTTGAAATTATGGGGTTGTGATTAACTACAATGTTGAGATATATGGAAAATACACAGATGTGTTCATGTAGGAAAGAGTTGATGTGCACACCGGAATAAAGATAATTTTAAGAATCTGAAATTACAAATAAGAAAAAAAAAAGTTAAATTGTTGAAAGTTTTTGTTTAGCAAAAACAAATCTGATTTCTTATACATTCTTATACTAAGTTGTGCTTATTTGAAATATATGTCACCAAAGTCATATTTTCTTAATGTATGACTATAAATTTTATTATGTCATTTTGAAACAACTATAACAAATAATTTATAAATAAGAAACCCGGGCGTAGCCCGGGAAACACACTAGTGATTTAATAAAAGAGCATTAACAGAAAGTAAAAGTAAAGGAAAAAGAGAAGGAATAATCGGTTTTTGATAAAGCGAGTTAAGTCACGACTTAAAAATAAAATAAATTAAAGCGACTCAAGCCAAAGTCTTAAAATATAAATATAATTGGGACATAATTAAACAATGAAATGTTTACCTTTCTTGAGAGACTGACCATCATATACCGTTGATGATGTTCTAAGCTTCCAGTAATTGCGCTTGAGGAAATTTCAAGGAAGTAGATATACGGAGAAAAGCAGCAGCCAATTTTTTTTTTGCTAGTGGTTTCAGCATTCCCACTCTTCGTTGTGTGTTAAATATATACAACGCTTCTTTATAGCTCTTCCTCCACATAGCTCCCTTTAAAGCTCTGTAATACTGATCCTATTTCCATCATACTAACTAATGGATTGTTCTTTACTCCTCACCACTGTTGTTGCTGAAATAGGGCTCTTAACTCTTTTGAGTTTTTTCCTTGCCACCGTTGCTGCTGCAATAGGGATCTTATTTCTTTTGAGAAAACTCAGATTCCATCCGGATAACAAAGAAAATGATTCTTCTTCTTCACCTTCATCTTCATTGTCTCCTGTTTCAGTTCCTCCACCTTCTTCTTCTTCTCGCATCTGGACGCATGATGTCTTTCCCAGCTTCCGCGGGGAAGATGTTCGCAGAAACTTTTTCAGTCACATTCAGATGGAGTTCGAAAGAAAAGGAATCACTCCATTCATTGATAATGAAATTAAAAGGGGAGAATTTATCGGTCCCGAGCTCATCAAGGCCATCAGAGGATCTAAGATTGCAGTTATTTTGCTCTCTAGGAACTATGCCTCCTCAAAATGGTGTCTCGATGAGCTAGTGGAGATTATGAAGTGCAGAGAAGAGTTGGGTCAAACTGTAATGGTTATTTTCTACGAAGTGGATCCATCTGATGTGAAAAAGCTAACCGGAGATTTCGGGAAAGTCTTTAGAAAAACTTGTGCCGGTAAAAGTAAGGAAAACATTGAGAGATGGAGAGAAGCTTTTGCAAAAGTGGCCACAATCGCTGGCTATCATTCAAGCAACTGGTTAGTTCCTTTTCTATTCACACTTACTCTACATTTTTCAAACATATGCGACCACAAATTCATATTTCTGTATGAATATGCATGAATTTTAGGGATAGTGAAGCGGCCATGATCAAGAAAATCGCTACTGATATTTCGAACATGCTGAATAATTTCACGCCATCAAATGATTTCGACCGGTTAGTTGGGATGGGAGCTCATTTGGAAAAATTGAAATCATTGTTATGCCTAGGCTCAGATGAGGTGAGGATGATTGGGATTTGGGGTCCTCCTGGGATTGGGAAGACCACAATCGCTAGATTTGCATTCAGCCAACTCTCCGACAGTTTTCAATTGAGTGTCTTTATGGATGATCTCAAAGCAAACAATTCAACACTGTGTTCCGATGACTACAGCTTAAAGTTGGAACTACAACAACAGTTTATGTTTCATATAACCAACGATAAGGATATGGTTGTTTCTCATTTGGGAGTTGTCGCAAATAGGTTGAAGAACAAGAAAGTTCTTGTTGTTCTTGATGGCGTGAACAAGTCAGTACAACTAGACGCAATGGCAAAAGACACTCAGTGGTTTGGTCCCGGGAGTAGGATTATAATAACAGCACAAGATCAGAAACTTTTAAAAGCACATGGGGTTAGTCATATTTACAAGGTGAATTATCCAACAAATGATGAGGCTCTCCAAATCTTTTGTACGTATTGTTTTGGTCAAAAGTTCCCTCAAGATGGTTTTGAGGAGCTTGCTTGGGAAGTTACACAACTTGCTGGTGAACTTCCTTTGGGGCTAAAGGTTATGGGTTCCTACTTTCGGGGAATGTCTAAGCAAGAGTGGACTAATACGCTTCCAAGATTAAAGACTAGCCTTGATGCTGATATTCGAAGCATTTTGAAGTTCAGCTATGATGCTTTAGATGATGAAGATAAATTCTTATTTCTTCATATTGCCTGCTTCTTCAACTCTGAATTTATTTACAAAGTGAAAGAGCATCTTGCGAAGAAGTTCGTAGAAGTGAGGCAACGACTTAAAGTCTTAGCTGAGAAATCCCTTATATCCATGGATTGGGGAAAGATACAGATGCATAGTTTGCTTGAAAAACTAGGTAAAGAAATTGTTTTTAAACAATCTATTCATGAGCCTGGACAGCGCCAGTTTCTGTACGACTTCAAAGAGATTTGTGAATTGCTGACTGGTGATGCAACAGTAAGTGTCTTTCATTGCTTTGCTTCCTGCAAATGTAGTTTATTTGTTAACTAACAAAATCTACTTTCTTGTTTGGTCCTTTGGTTGATAACTCACAATTTATAATTTCTTGTTTGGACCTTTATTTCAGGGTAGTAAAAGTGTCATAGGCATAAATTTCAGCAACAGAAGAATCGAAAAAGAACTAAATATGAGTGAGAAAGCTTTTGAAGGAATGTCAAATCTCCAATTCTTAAGAGTTGATTACAAAAATAGATTGCAACTAACTCCAGGTCTGAACTATCTATCTCATAAAATTCAATTATTAGAGTGGAGTGGTTTTTCAATGACATGCTTTCCTTGCACTGTAAATTTGGAGTTCCTTGTCGAACTAAAAATGACTGAGAGCAAGCTTGAGAAATTGTGGGAAGGAATTAAAGTAAGTTATTTTGATTTATTTCTCTTTGTTTCGAATCTATCATTTGTACATTCTTTAGCTATAAAAATTGATCTTGCTACTCCCGGTTGTGGTTGTTTTTTTTCTTTGGAACTGTAGTTTCTATCTGTTTCATTACTAAAGTGTATAAAACAAACATGTTTTTGTTATTCAGTTGCTTCCAAGTCTCAAGCGGATGGATTTGAGTGATTCTGAAAACTTGAAGGAGCTTCCTGATCTCTCAACTGCCACTAACCTTGAGATATTGAAACTTCGTGGTTGCTCGAGTCTAATCAAACTCCCTTCCCTGAGTGGAAATAATCTGGTGGTATTAGATTTCAGCGGATGCACACGTCTTGTGGAGTTTCCCTCCATTATTGGGAATGCCGTCAATCTTCAGACATTGAATTTAAGTAGTCTACCAAAATTGTTGGAGGTACCATCCTTTATTGGGAATGCCACTAATCTAGAGGACTTGATACTTAGTAACTGCTCGAATCTGGTGGGACTTCCTCTTTTCATTGGAAACCTTCAGAAGTTGAAAAGGCTGAGATTAGAAGGATGCAGTAAGCTAGAGATTCTTCCCACCAACATCAACTTGGAATCTTTGGATTTCCTTGATCTCCATAATTGCTCCATGTTGAAAAGTTTTCCTGAGATCTCCACAAACATTAGTTTTCTCGCCCTCACAGGAACTGCAATAGAACAAGTGCCTCCGTCGATCAGGTCATGGCCTCGTCTTGAAGAGTTGAAGATCTCATACTTTGAAAACCTCGAGGACTCCCCTCATGCTCTTGAAAGAATCACATGTCTGTTCTTGACCGACGCAGAGATACAAGAGCTTCCTCCGTGGGTCAACAAAATGTCTCGTCTAAAGCATCTCGTGCTCAACGGATGCCGAAAGTTGGTATCACTCCCACCCATTTCGAAGTCCATCAATTGCATAGATGCAATAGACTGTGAGTCCCTGGAGATACTAGAGTGCTCCTTTGACTATCACTTCCGTAGGCGCTATCACTTCCGTAGGCGCAACTTCGCTAACTGCTTCAAACTGAAGAGAGACCTCATCATCCAGATTCCAGAGTCGTAGTGCAGAGGCAGTTTTACCAGGTGGACAAGTGCCTGCATACTTCACTCACCGAGCTACTAGTGGAGGTCAATTGATGCTCAAGTTGAATGAAAATCCTCTTAAAAAATTCATGAGTTTTCAAGCTTGCATCTTGCTGCTTAATAAAGGTGACCATGACTCTTGCTCTGAAGAGAAATCAATGAGGTTGTATGTTGCGTACAACAGTGTTTGCCAAACATTGTATCCGCCTTTAGCAGAGCATCTGTACATATTCCGTTTCAAGAAAGTAGTTGATTCCAGAGAGTTTCTCACTGAGTTCAAGCTGAATTGCGATGACTGCGTTTGGAAGATAGGAGAATGTGGAATGGTCCAATACTAGGAGGTCTCTTGATATTGATGAACACGATGAGAGCTTGAGAGGTGGTGTTGGCCTGCCATGGCGGATACAAAACATATAAAGTTAATGGCTCTCTGTTTTTCTGTTCTCTAGTGTATTCCTCTGTTTTTTGGGGGTGTGGTGTTTCTTTTTTTTGACAAAAGGCAAGACGAATACAATCCTGTTGTGTCTGGTGCGCTTTTCTCTCTCTCTTGTCACTGTTCATTTACTTCAGAATCCATCCCTTTGCAACATATGCTTTGTCATATAGTTCCCTGAGGATTGTTTACACAATGTCCTTTTAATTGATCAAGTACTTTGGTGTTTTAGGTCTGAGGTTGGAAAGCTTCGGAGCTGAGTCTCTAAAGTCATGGGATGATCTTCGGAAGCTATGGTACGTTCTTCTGAAAGAGAACTTAATGGCTAAATCCATAGGATGATCTTCATGGCCAACATGTTGATGACTGGACGTCGGATGCTTGAAGCCCTCAACATGATGTTTCAAAACCCAAAGGCATCCATCCTAACGGTAAATTACAAAGCTAGCTTTTCTTAACTCCTGAAGTTGGTGGGTGCTATGAAATGAAATGTGATCCTTTCCTGAACAAAATAGGTGTATGTGAAATCCAAATGTAGGTGAGGAGATCATTGCGCCATATCAAAGCATGTTTTGATGGAGAAAGCATCTAAAGAACCAGATCCAAAGAAGATCAGCCGAGAACCAGATCCAAAGAAGATCAGCCAATATGCAGAGCTTTTAGTATACTAATAAGTAACACTAGTTTGTTTGTACTGGTCTGTTGCTTGTTATTGTCACGTTGCAGTTTGTTAGAGTGATGTGCACAATTTTGATAACTCATATCTTAATCAGTAAACACAAAATAATGATGTCTTTCTTCATTCTCACACGAAGAGTCTTATCTCAAATTCTCAATTTTGTTGGCCCATTACAATAAACCCCAGCAGTAAATTCTAGGCCCATTAAAATAAAGCCCATTAGAGACACGTTCGCAACCCTATCTACTCCCCGTACTACATAAATAACGCTGAACATCAACGCGGCGTAAGGCATTAAATTTGTTTCGTCAATCGATATCGAGATCCAATCAAATCTGCTTCTCTCTCAGGTAAATTTCTACTGTTTTTCCGAAAATTCATCGGAGCTCGATAACCTATCGTCGGAGGTTTACTATTGAGATGAATTGCCACTGAGTATTATTAGGTTTTTGAATTGGATTAGAAATCTTAACGGGAAGTTACTGCGCAGCTTGTAGAATTTGATTACTATGGGAGACGCTAGGGACAACGAAGCTTATGAGGAGGAGCTTCTAGACTATGAGGAAGAGGACGAGAAGGTTTTGGATTCTGGAAATAAAGTTAACGGCGAAGCTGTGAAGAAGTGAGTTTTTGTTTTACCTTCTCGATCTGTTTCATGAGAACACTAGACGTTAAATTAAGATTAGTTAGCAGTGAGGGTATAATTAGAAGCTATTTGATGTGAAATTTAATTGAAACTAATGTGAGTCTGAAATGTAGAATTGTCTTCTCATATTGTGTTTTATATTTGTGGCAGAGGGTATGTGGGAATACACAGTTCAGGATTCAGAGACTTCCTTTTGAAACCGGAGCTTCTCCGAGCTATTGTTGATTCTGGATTTGAGCATCCATCTGAAGGCAAGTACCTTTCGATCTTTGACTATTATGCCTTCAGTGCCTTTGTACCATTTTATTGTTGGGTGATATGGTGTAAAATGTAAATCTACTTAAGTTCCTATGAGTTGTTTTTGATTGTCCTGTAAAATACATAGTCTACTTTCGTAAAGATATGTTGATGTGTAGTCTACTTTATACATCTTAGTCATTTGTTTATCACCTAAGTTCGAGGGCATAACCTAGTTTAGTTTTGAGAGGATGCTGTGTTTCATGGATTTGGATTCTTTGTTATAATTGCTTTTGTATTGTCCATTAACATTTCACTGATTATTTTCCAGGTAAAAACGCTATTTCAATCTATTGATTTGGAGTGGGCTTAGCATTTCGTAAAGCCACCAATTTAAAAGATATGGAGGTTATTTCTACTTATAAAACGGTTCCTTCGGTGCAATTTTCTTTGGTTATCCTCCAGTGCAACATGAATGTATCCCTCAAGCTATCTTGGGCATGGATGTTATCTGCCAAGCTAAATCTGGTATGGGAAAGACTGCTGTGTTTGTCCTTTCGACTCTACAACAGATCGAGCCCACTCCGGGCCAGGTGTCTGCACTTATCCTGTGCCATACAAGAGAGTTAGCTTACCAGGTATCTCGGATTTGCTTCTTTTACTCTCGGTTTCTAATAAATAACTCTGTCTGTCCCGAAATATTCGTACTTATCATACCTTGATGATGAAAATTGCATGCAGATCTGCAATGAGTTCGTGCGATTCAGTACCTACCTGCCTGATACAAAGGTTTCAGTGTTCTATGGAGGAGTCAACAATAAAATTCACAAAGAGTTGCTGAAGAATGAATGTCCTCACATTGTTGTTGGAACCCCTGGTCGGGTTCTTGGACTCGCCAGGGACAAAGACCTTTCTTTGAAGAATGTGAGGCATTTTATTCTTGACGAGTGTGATAAAATGCTCGAGTCACTAGGTACGCTAATCTCTAACATCCTCGCAGATAAAGAACTCATAATGTTTTGATATTGCATGTTTTAACGTTTTTACTCTTATTTATCAGACATGCGGAGGGATGTGCAGGAGATTTTCAAGATGACTCCTCACGACAAACAAGTTATGATGTTCTCAGCAACGCTCAGCAAAGAGATACGCCCCGTCTGCAAGAAATTTATGCAAGATGTAATGTCCCACGACCAATACTCTCTCGGTTTACAAGTCCTCTAGTCTTGAACTTTCGGAGATGTTAGGCATACATGAGCACCTTCTGGCCCGGGATACTTGACATTTGATCCTTGGACGCACGGTTTCAATCCAATAGTGACTTGCTTAGTATGTTTGGGTTTAGAAAATAGGGAACTGGAGATGTAACATAGTTATGGTGTGGTTCACTGCGTATTCTATTATCAACTGTGTTTCTCTTTTTCTATTCATTATTTGCAATGCCAACAGTGCTTAGTAGGTTTTGAGTCGGGGTGTAGTGAGGTCTCAAGGTTTCATCGTGCTCAGTTTTACGGGCCTTAATGTTCCGAGCAATATTGATCTTTGAGCATGGAAACCTGATGGACGAGGATCTCAGTTTTGGGGGTCTTTCATCCGTCCTCAATTTTGTATTGGCATCATTACCTGAGGAAAGCTCTAATACACTTTACTCTGATATCTATTCCTTTCAGCCAATGGAAATATATGTTGATGATGAAGCCAAATTGACTCTTCATGGTCTTGTCCAGGTAATTTGACTTGAGGCGAGTCTTATTACTGTCGTTTGGTTTGGTATTATTATATTTTTTAGCTGACTGTGCGACTACCTTGTTTTCTGTCATTTGTTTCAGCACTACATCAAACTTAGCGAAATGGAGAAAAACCGCAAGTTGAATGACCTTCTCGACGCATTGGACTTCAATCAAGTTGTTATCTTTGTTAAGAGCGTTAGCAGAGCTGGGGAGCTTAACAAGTTGCTTATTGAATGCAATTTCCCCTCGATATGCATTCACTCTGGCATGTCTCAGGAAGAGAGGTTTGTATTTTTCCCATAATAATCCTTGCTTTTGCAAGTTATGTTAATGGAATTCATCTCTTAACCCTATACACTATGATATAATTTGTAGGCTGACTCACTACAAAAGTTTCAAGGAAGGGCACAAGAGAATTCTGGTGGCAACAGACTTGGTAGGGAGAGGAATTGACATTGAGCGTGTAAATATTGTGATCAACTACGACATGCCAGATTCTGCTGATACATATCTTCACAGGGTACGTAATTTTGTATCTATAAAGTCGTAATATCTGCTGATACATATCTTCACAGGGTAGATTATTGATTCTCATGAGAGATCTTATAGACGTGAACTTAACGTAAGCACACTTGGTTATGGTATTAGGTTGGGAGAGCTGGTAGGTTTGGAACGAAGGGTCTTGCAATCACATTTGTGGCATCAGCTTCTGATTCGGAAGTTCTCAATCAGGTCTCTGGAGTTTAGATCTTTATGCCTTGAATTGTTACCGAGTTGTTTGGGGGGTATTTAATTAACCATCAATACCTTGTGTTAACAGGTACAAGATAGGTTTGAGGTTGATATTAAGGAACTTCCTGAGCAGATTGATACTTCCACATACAGTAAGCGTATTTTCCCTTTCTACTTATTGTGAGTATTGACTGTCTGGTTCTGACATCTTGATTTTGTTTCTTCTTTCGCTTTGCAGTGCCGTCTTAAATCGACTTAGAGAGATGGAGAGGATTTCCTAGATTGTGTTGCTTATGTTGTCAGAATATGTACAAGCGAATATGATGCTTATGTTGTCAGAATTCAGACATTACAATAACTCTTAGAGTTCTATTTGTGCTTGATCTTCCTTTTGAGTTAATCTGAAATTTCTCTTTCGTTACAAGTAATACCTATAAAAAAAATAATCGCACTTCATGTTCGTTATTCTCCTATAATCTTTTGGGTAGTTACTAATGATTACTATGATTCGTATTTATTAGTAGCACTATACCAGTGTTACGTCCACACCCAAATCAAACACCTAGTGTTTATATGCATATACGTTCGTTACATTTACTGTTTCGACAATCTCTCACACGCATATGGGTAGACTGTAGATAGATCCATCGCTGCTACACAACTTTTCAAGGGAAATTTGAAATTTAGTTGATAGAGAAAACTTATCCTTTTTCTGACTTCAGCCACAGGATTAGGTTGATGCTTTTAAAAAGGTTTAACAAACTTGTGGGTTCATTTTAAGAAGGTTTCACGTATTCATTGTTTTCTAATCAATTCAAAAATACGATAATCTCTTCTTTCTCGATTTGGCATCCACCACCATGAAAATCAAAACACGAAATTTATATTTCGCTCAATATTATACAAACTTATAACCACAGTGTAGTTCTTATTATTAATTCACCATCGTCGCATGTTGATACAAAAACTTCATTAAGAGTGGAAAAGAACAACCTCTCAAGCCTTGAGGAGATTGATCCCAAGCTTCTCAAGAGCGGTCTTAATAGCGTCACGGCCACATTCTTCAGCTTCAGTTATATTGGGGCTGTTGAGTGGCGTCACGTCTTCCATCGGGTAGCTTCTGTTGCCGTGTAACTCACGCAAGTCATTCGCTATTCCTTTAAGTATCACAGTTTTGTGAACCCCTCCAAGCAAACCTTCGTAATCCGTGTCACCTGAATCTCCCACGAACACCACCATGTTCGATAAATCAATGCCCCATCGCACAAGCAAGTACCTGAAAAACAGAGGAAGACGGTTGCGTGTGTATGTGTTCGTAAAGAGCTCAAGTACTTTTAACCTAGCTCTTACCTAAGGGCCTGAGAACGTGAGGCGAGAACAGGGATTACGTTTAACCTAGCTCCATTTTGGCAGTAAACCACATTGCAACGTAACGCTTGGATTCTCATCAACTTCCTCAGCTCCTTCATTGGAGGAATCTGTATAGCATAGATTAAATGAATCAATGGAGTGTGTCTCAAGAAAAAAAAAGAAAAAAACTCTAGCCTGAGAGAGTGTATTTTACCGAAGAAGGATCTTTGACTTTGAAAGATAAGCAAAAATTAGTCGAAGAAGCTTCATCTTCAGATAAAACCTCTCCTTGTTTCATCTTCTTCTTATCTTCAACACTACTAATCCAACGAATCAAAGTCTTCCTCAAATTCTCACCACCCCAACGAAACTCTATATGAGAATGATAATCCGGATCGTGTGTATAAGGAAGCACAGTTTTATCCTCAGAAGGAGAGGCAGTGAAGTAAAGCTCACTCCCACTGTTGCAGATCACAGCATCAAAGTCTTGTGGCTTCAAACCTCCTGAAAGCAACGCTGCGTGAGTCTCCGAGATAGTCATTGACGTCGAGAGTATAAACCCTGTTGACCCGCTTTGGCCAGCGACGTCTATAACTGTTTTCACCACTGAGAGAAGATCAGAGGTTGTGCTGCAGTCAACGGAGATGACGAATATATGTTTACGTCTTTTCAGAGTTGGCATCTTTGAGTCGATTTTCTCAGTTGAGATCTTCTTCTGTGACATGGTTGAGATAGCTTTCTCTAGCTTAGCTTTTCTTTCAGAAGTGATGTCTTCAGCGTCTAAGTTAGTGTCTACACTCTTTTCTCCATCCAAGGAGAGTTTTAGGTTCAAGGAGATGTCGTGTATGTCTCTAAGGGAGTCACTTGGTGAATCAGAGTCTGAGTTTTCGAACTCGACTCTTTGCCATTTAGGATGTCTTTGCTTGCAAGAAGCTATACGAGCTAGATATGTTTTGCAATGCTCTGGCCATGAGAACAAGTGGATGTTTTTTAGGCCGTTTTGTCTGCATCTTGTCCAGAGTTGCTTGTCTGAGACTAGTTTTAAGAGAGCGTCGGATATAGCTTGTTGATCATGAGGGTCAACGAGAAGACCGTTGTCAAGAACCTACAAGGCATGATTATAAATTAGTTATAGCTCTGCTTTGATTGCAGTGATGTATAGTGTACAAAGTTTCTAACCCGGTGAATATCTACAGGTCCACCATTTATTGTTGCAACAGTGGGCAGACCATGAGCTCCTGCCTGTTAGGTAAATAGCACTTGTTAGATTAGATAATAAGAAAAATTGAAAAAAAATAGATCATTAAAAAGAGAAAAAAAATGATGAATACCTCAATTAGAGTTAATCCAAATGGTTCAATGAAAGCTGGATTTATAAACACTCCCTGACAAAAAAAAGTTTGAGACAAAGATTAGATAAAAAGAAAAGGCTAATATACATATATGTATTATGTAATATGGGAACACTTATTGATCATTGAATGATACATAGTGGAGAAAAGTAAACATGTTTAAGTACCTTTGTTTTGGCTGCTAAACGGTAAATTTCAGGAACATCAGATTGTTTGTGATGCTTAGGCATTGCCACTTGACCATATAGATCATACTTGTCGATTAGCTTCAGAATTGATAGCAGCACCGAGGCATTCGTGGTGGATAACTCATCAATATCATTTCTGTTTCCCATTATCAGTGTCTGCAATCAAAAAGAGAATGAGAAATAATAATTAAAAAAGTGAGTTAACTTCCACAAAATTATATGATTATAACAGAACGTACAAGGTTAGCAAGTTCCCGTAGTGGACGACACTCTCCAAAGGCTTTGACTAGAGTAACCAAGTTCTTTTTAGGGTCTGGTCTAGCAAGAGCTAGTATCATAGGCTTACGTGGGTTAGAAAAGAAACGCATAATCTGCCCAAGTAAAAAGTTAACAGTAAATACAAAATAACAATCATAATACATAAAACATTTGATCAAATAAAAAAAATGATTAGACTACATTGTACCTCAGACCAAATTGGTGGATCAGGAGATTGTGGATCTTCACCATCCCTACCTCCTTCTCCATCTCCATCCACATCATGTGGTACAATGTGATGAAACTCCATTCCTGGAGGAATCACCTAGGAATCACATGAAAATTCTACTCATGAGCCATGGTAAAAAAAATAAACCTCTCAAAGAGGAAGAATAGAGATGAATACTTACAACCATGCGAGGCATAAACCTGCCTAGACAGCTCACACCTCTTTTCATCCTTGCTCTGAGTTTACGCTCCAAAACCGGATCAAACCCATCATAAAGGTTCCATTGCTCTTCTATCTCTTGCCTTGTACTAGTTATAACTATCTCAGAAGCATCAAGACACAACTCCTCTGCCTCTATCCTTCTCATTATCTTGTAATTAGAATTAATCTCTTCTTTTGGCCGTCCTTGTTTCAGAAGCTGCTCAAGCTTATCACGACCAAGAGAATGTCCAGTGAAAACCATCGGTACGTTCAAAGCCCCAGAGAGAAGAGCAGCGGAATCACCAGCATCTGCATAGTGTCCATGAATAGAAACAGGCCATACTTGTCCTCCTTCACCAATTTCTTCATCAAGAGCCTTAGAGGTTTTCATAATTCTTTCAAGTGCTCTATCAACAAACTCAGGGATGTGAGGCCAGAGGAGCTCCTTTTGTACATATTTATCTTTAGGACCAAAAGGTATACGGACGATATAAGCGCCACTACTCTCTCCATGCTCCTGCTCTGTGTTGTCTGTGTCCAAAGGATTCAGCATCTCAGTTGGCTCAGAGTAGCTGCTATCCACACCCGGTGCAGTTACTTGTCTGGTCAATAAATCGACACGGTACACTCCTGGCATTGAGGCAAGTGCCCTTGCAAGCTCCACAACGTACTTCACCTGGCCACCAGTATCAGAATCTCGACCTAGCTCCATGTTTTCACCACGTATCAATCCATGAAGACTGCAAAACAAACAAGTTTTAGAATGTCTCACACTCCATTACTTTATATTAAAGGTAGGATCACGTATATATATACCTTATCAAGACGATGTAAAGCTTTTTCTCTTTGTGTTGAGCAAACCAATTCTCAAAGACGTCAACAGAGCTGACCCGAGACATTCTTCCTTTAGTTTTGCCATCACTAAGAGTTGGGATCTCACCAGGCACATCAGCTTTCTCTCCTTCAGAAAAATCTTCTGACATATCAGCACTTACTTCCTTCAGTGCTTTCTCACGCAATAGATTACGTTTAGCAACACGCTTAGCATTCTTTCCTTCAATCTATTCAAAATCACATTTCACAAACACACAATGATCAATTCCTCCACAAAACTCAAGTCCACGAACGCACAAAGAAAAGGATAAAATCGTCTGTAATATTTCTCATAGTTTATAATATTATAATATATAGAGTTAAAAAAAAACTCAAATCCATAAATAAAAGGTCATGTTCGTTTTGATATCACTGCAACTTTTACTACTAATTATTGATTAATCTCTGCGACTGCAAAACGAACAACAAACTGCAAGGTAAGGAACATGGTAACTCGAGAAAAGTGCCTTTTCAGACCCGAACAATTAAAACAAACCCAAACTAAAAAGTAATTTGAGTGAGCAGACTCAAACTTTTAACTGTAGCACTAAAATCTATGTACATGTAATTTGTTTCAAAAAATTTGAGGATCCAATGCCAATGTTTCATCCCGGCTTGTCCTAGGTCGGCTCGGTCTTGACTAAATACGACGTTAGTCAACCGTTAATTTTAGGTCAAACAATGGTATAAAACGAAACCACAGACGAACCTGCTTCTTCTGACGAGCCAAATTCCAAATCCTCCAGCAAAGATTCTCCAACCTCGTGTTCCTATCTTGCGGACTCCTCGTCGCAGCAGCCTTTGTATTCAAAAATCAAAAACTACTCAGAAAAACATTCAAAAAACGCAACAGAGATCATAATTACACATACCTGAACCCAGGAACGGTGAAGATCAGTTTCATCGAAGCCAGTGATGACCTCTTCAACGAAGTAACGACTCGGATTGAAATGGCCACGCTCTCTTAGCATCAGCGACGATTTAGAGTCACCGAACTTCGGTTCAGCGGCGAG